CGGGGAGTCCCTTCCCATGGGATCCCCCTACACGGGGTGGGGGGTCCCTTCCCATGGGATCCCCCTACTCGGGGTGGGGGCACCCTCTGCGTCAGGAGAGGCTGAGGGGGGAATGCAGAGAAACCAACAACCTTCTCTCCCTCGCCGAGATTGCTGCATAATGGAGTGAACGCGCAAGCAAAGTGGAAGGGGGGACAAAAGTCTTAACAGCTAGACTTTAAATTCTTAGTTGTTTGGCAAATGAAGAACATGGTAACAAAAATGCTGAAATGCCTCTTAGTTTGTTTTTCCGCCAGAAGTTTAGACCATCAGTGCATTAAGTCTGAGAGACAGCAGTCGGAGCAGCCGTGTCACCTGGGTGATGGATGCTGCAGATACTGTCTGTCTGTGCTCAGATTGCTTTAAGAACTATTTCTATGCAATGGGAGAATTTGCCTCCCTAACAGGACTGAGATTCTTTTATTCTCTTAGTTTACATCAGAAGAAAAAATTGGAAAATTGATGTCCTCTTAGGGTTGTATGTTTGTGCCAGACTTGTTATTTTGAGGTCTTTTAGAAGACAGGGGTTATTAATATCCTAAAAGTAGGTTGATTTTTGCAGAGGCTGATGATGTTTTTCTGGTGTTAAAATAAGTACTTTTTAAAGAAGGCAGTGATGGAGTAGTTGCACAAACAGTTTGTTCAAAGAATTTATGGTTAACACTCCAAACAAGATGTGCCCAACACAGGGCATGTGTCATGTTGTGGAGAAGTTCCAGGGCCATTTCCTCCCAGCTCATGGTCAAATGTGAGCCCGTTGTTTGTCTTCAGTTGCACGACCAGTTATAGGACCAGGTTTCACTAACTACCCTCTCATAAATGGATCCATGTGCCGGTTTCTGAGGTCCTGTGGGCAGGACAGCAGCAGGTAGCGAGTCGCAGGCTGGATGTGTTGGCACAGGAGGTTCTGCTCGGCCTGTGGCCATAATTGGTCATGCTTGTTCTACGCAGACGTGAAACTGCAAGTGTAACTCAGTAGCTCTTGCAGAATCAGAAATAGATTGCATATCGTTAGCATTATAGGGCAGAGTCCCTCTGCTTTTCTCATTTTGCATTTCAGGCTGTCTGTCTAACACCACAGCAGTCCCTTGTTCCAGATGTACCTCATGGCTACTCAAGAGCAGGCTTGCAGATTGAGGACACAAATGTTGCCCTGGTATATGAGGGCTCTTACATGCTGAATGAATTACATCAGAGCCTAATTTAAAATGGAGGTGTCATTTGGTAAATGAGAGGGAAGAGCTTGTCTGTGGTTCCTTTTAGATGTCCATCCCTGTGCTGGGGCTAACATTAGAAAGGAACTAATACATGATAACCACTCTTAACCTTTCTTAGAACCTCAGACTTCTATACTAGCATCTCTTACGTTTCCTGCTTCCAGGAAAATGCATACTTTCCAGAACTTCTCCAATATCTGTTCTGACATTCTCCCTATTAGAAAATTATATTGACTAACAGTCAGCTGGGCATTTGTTTTTCCTTCTAAGCTGGAATGACAAGTACTTGCTTGGTTTTGCTCACGGGAGAAAAAAAGTACAGTCAGAAATGTTCCTTCTTGCCAAATATTATCTTAAATTGTTAATCGAATGTGAGTGTAAGTAATTGGACAGCAGATAAGGCTTGAAGAGCAGACAAGTGCTTCTTAATAAAGGGACACCAGAGAATCAGAAGTAGGAACTGCGGTGGTCAAGGTTGCATATATCCTGGAAAAAAGTAGCTTTTGTAGAGGTCTTTTCAACAGCGGAAGCTGCAGCGCCGGTGCAGCATCTGCGGTTTATCTTGTACCCAAGTGATAAAAAAGCATGACAGCATTGCATCCATCACCAGCAATGTCTCGGTGTAGCAGGATGTTTAGTATCTTTTCTCTAGAACAGAAAAACCCAAACAAACCCAAAACTTTGAGAGGGAGTTAAGCAAGGAAAAAGAGGTTGAGTGTGTGGATGACACAACGGTTTGGATTAGTAAAGGCTCTCAGGAGCAGAAGGACAGAAACAAACTCTGGCTGGGCTGAACAATAGCAATGTAAATATAGCCTAAGGGAACTTCTAAAGTACAGTTTGCATGGAGTCATGACTTTATTTTTCATTTTTGAGCTTGATAGCTTGATCCCCTTCTCCATGTGTGGTATCATATTATCAGTGCTTAATAAGCCAGAAAGAACAGAGCCAGGTGCATTCTTAGACCTGTGACTGGTTTCCCTAGGCATAGAAATAGGTAGAAAGAGCCACCATGATTTTTTTCTAGCATAGTTAACCATCTTGATTTAGTCACTGAAAAAAATACACAAGCTGGGTGCCAATTTCAGAGTTTTCATTTACCCCATCCCTGTTACGTATTTTAAGGAGAGTGGAGAATGTGTATTTCTCATTTTCACAGATTCCTCAGCTAAAGCCTTTTCACCAACTACCTCTGCCTGAGTTTTCCACTTGTAAGACAGTAATAATTCTTTGTACCTTATTTTTCAGGACAGTGTAAAGGGTTGTAAGTTGCTCTTTGAAAGTGTGTTTTCATACAAGCGCTAATTGTCAAGTTTCCTTGTCCAAAGTGATGTGAAGGAAATGCATTTGAGTCTGTATGTCAGCCAATCCACTTTTGCTATATGTTCTTTCAGGTTTATGGCCACCAACGACCTGATGATGGAACTGCAGAAAGATTCGATAAAACTAGATGAAGACAGCGAGAAAAAAGTTGTGAAAATGCTTTTGAAATTGCTGGAGGACAAAAATGGGGAAGTACAGAACCTCGCTGTCAAATGGTAGGAGCCTTGGCAGTAATTACCATATTCCTTGACAATAGCAAATCTGTCACAGACAGCAGAGACTGTCTTGGCGCGGAGCCCTGGACCCGCAGCATTGGCCCCTTACTCAGACCTCGCTTTGTAGGGGCTTTCCCTCTCATCCCGGGCACAGCAGTTTGTTTCTCTATTGGTATTCAGAAGGGGTGAGCATACAGATATCTTCATAGAACAGTCGGTGATTTTGGAAGTAGTTCTGTGTTTATATTACGAATCTTACCCTAGTAGAAGTAGCATGCCTAAGATTTTATTTCTTCAGAGAGAAGCCTGAATTAAAATTTTGGTCATCAAGTTCCTTGCCTTTCTCATGCTTTGAAATCCAGTGCTGAATTTCCCAGTGGTTCTGTCTTTGATAGAGACAGTACTAAACATGTACAGGCCTTCAAAAATGGCATTTGAAGGTCCAAATTCTACTCTTCAAGGGCATTTTCATTAAAGTTTATAACGCACTTGGGTTTTTTTCCCTGTTTGGACTCCAAGTCACAGTACTTCTTTTCGAATTCTTGTATTTCAGAGTAGCTACTCAGGCTCTAAACAGCTATCATTGTCCTAATGATTGAATTTAGTAATAGTCTTATACAGAACAGGCTGCATGTGAGTTTGCTTTGTGTGCTCTGGGAAACACTGCACAGATAGTGTTTGTTAAGCATGCTGTCAGGGTAATTGTGGTGTGCCAGCAGGGAGACAACCACCTGTGCATAGGTGCTCCATACAGTTTGCATTACTGGAGCTATGCCAAAAGGTAGGGAGAAAAAGATGACAGAAAATGCATTTTTTTACAAGGATATTATAAACTGTGTCCAGCCATAAACATTGTAGAGTGCTAGCACCATGTCTTCTCGTACAAGCTCTTAAGAAAATGTAAATCATCCAGGCCAATGTTTTAACAGTCCTGTTCAGCTCCCACTGAGGCAGAGACTTTCACCACTGACGGTCGGGAGCAGAACCTCTCCTGTCTGTAAGCTTCAGTGAAAGAAGCCTATGTTGAAAGCCCTACATGTCTCTCTCTCTCTCTTTTTGTACTCTATAGGCAACTGGTAGCCTTCCCTTTTGAGCCATATGGGCATGTAGCATTGATGGTAGTCCCCAGTGATCAGTGACTGTGCCCTAGTATTGTGCAGCGTACAGAGCCAAAACCTCTAGTCCCTCTCTTCTGTATAACATTTTTTCTATGTAACAAAGAAAAAAACAAAACTCCAAAGAGGCAGATTAGGCCTTTCCTTCGCTCTGTTTTGTATTTTCACTTGCCTGTATGAAGGGGAAGACAGGGGAAAAAAGAGCTGTGAAACCTCCAGGAACTGGTTATTTAAATATATTTTTGCTCTCGAATAGCAGCACGATGGTATTTTTAAAACTCTAAAACCCTGTTTAGAAAAATGTTTGCGCTGCACATGAATCCCAGGGAGCTGTTCAATTCTCATTTGTTTTTTGAACTCAAAGGAAAAGATCTATATTATTCAGTTCAAATCATTCTGTTTTGACTAGTCCCCACAAGAAAGGGAACATTTTGTACCTGGCACTGAAATTGGAGCGCAGCCTCATCACTGCTACAGCAAGTAGCTGCTTCTCTGCAAGGTGGTATTGACTCATGGGAAGTCAAAAGTACCTATAGCATCTGTCAAAATCTCTGTTCAGGCCCGAATCCTTCCAAAGTCATTTCTAGACTGGGGCATGAAGAATTGCCTAGCAGTGTTAATCTGCAAGCTGGGGCCCCATTTCTTCATCTGGGCAGACCATTCAGTGGGAGAGGAGGGGTGGCATAACCACGGGGGCTTGGACATGGATCCCTGCCACTGGTGGGTCACAGGGCCCTGGGCAAGCCCACTCAACCTGTAGAAGAGTGATGCGTTGTTAGGATTGAAATTGGGCTCAAAGTATTTTCTGTGGATGTTCGCTAAAACAAGAAGATGGAATTTTCTATGGGGTGTGTTTCCACTCATCTGTGTTTGCTTCTCATGAAAATTCTAGCAACCAGATTTGCTGTCTCTGAAACAGCAATTTCTTAGCAAGGGTTACAGAATATTCATGGGAAACAAATGCATTTTGAATTCATTAGCTTAATTCAAACACTTAAGTGTGGCCGGTTGTGGAAGGAAAGCTGCAATGTGTCTTGCTGAAATACAGTTAGTGCTTTACATTTTAGCTAGTTACCTTGTAAAGATGTAAAAATAAATAGTTTCAAACAAATGCTGACGAACTCTCTGTGCACAATTTGGAATACAAACTTACCGGCTGGAGACACAGGTTATTAACAGAAAGTTTTTCTCATAATAATAATTTTTAAAAAGTGCTGTGGAAAGGGAGTGGTCTTCCCTCGGTTGTAATTCTGAGCCTTGGCTCAGGCAGACCTTGTCAGACACACAGCCAAGGGCAATAGGTAGGTAATTGTTTATGAAAATCCATTTCACATTTCCTCATGTAAGTCAGTTTCTGATGGTTGGTTTGTTTTTGTGGGTTTTCTTCCAAAAAGCTGACTAGATTTTACCATTACTCTGTGTGACATGGTTCCTTTTGTTCAAATTCATTGTGTTGTAACTTCTGAGCTGCTCCTTCCAGTAACATATTAACTGGCCTCATGTTTGCAGTAGTTGGTGTGAAATGTCCTCCTACAAATCTATCTAAAATTCACTGAAGTCTGATACAGAGTTAACTGAGGCAATAATGCAGGGTATGTAAACCTAGGGACACGGCGTGCTGCAGGGTATCGGTGCTCGATACTCGTATTCTGGTAATATTTGCATTTGGGGCTGAGCTGCCTTTAAGGAGGAGTGAGCCTGAGCATCCCTTTGACGGTGGAAAGCATCCCTCTTCCTCTTCATTCTAACTGGCTTCTCCCGCAGCCTGGGCCCGCTGGTTGGCAAAGTGAAGGAGTACCAGGTGGAAACCATTGTGGATACGCTGTGTACAAACATGTTATCTGACAAGGAGCAGCTGCGGGATATCTCCAGCATTGGACTGAAAACTGTCATCTCTGAGCTGCCACCAGCTTCTACAGGTAAAACGTCTGTCCCTGTTTGTCAGACTGAGGCAATAGGGAGTTACACCCTTTGGGAAACAGAGGAAAACATGTAGTTCAGGGCCTAAAAGTTACAAATTCCTTATTCACCTGCTAGAGGACAAGTAATGAAATGAGGAGAGATAGTAGAAGTTGAGACACTGGTGTGATTAATGATGGGATTAAATAAGAACTTGAGCTGGTCACCCTGAGGATACTTAAGCCTGAAACTGCATCTGAGTTCTTGGAGAAATCGGGTTTTGTTTATAGAAATCCTAAAGCATTCAGTATGCATTAGGTTATTGCTATTCAGGCAGTCTTGCGGGGCTGTTGATCTCCACATCAGCAATGCCACTACCCTGTGCGATCTCACACCGCACCACCTCCTGTCTGCAGCCCAGCTGGACCAAGTCTTCGACTGCCACAGCTGCCCTGGCTGCTCCTCCTGCGTTTGGAACTACATATCCCAAAAATGCAGCAGCTATTCAGGAGATAGGTGAGGCTCACAGACATTTGAGTTTCCTCTGCAGCCATCTCATGTATCTGTTATTCCTTCATGGCAGGTGCCTGTGGCAGTGCTGCCAGGCTGATGGATTTTAGGTTGGGAGAAGAATTAGAATTAGTATGCAAATACTTGCTGAACTCTTCTTTCAATTTCTCCAAAGTGTTAAGCTCTTGGAGTGCTCCTTTCAGAATCCTTTATTTAACATACATCACATGAACTGAATCTGTTTTAAGGTAGCAACAGATAAGTCATCTCCTTAAGGGTTGGGATTGACACTGTGTGGGTAGAAGGCAGCAAAAGCAGTGTGAGTTTGCTGCAAAATGGAGAGATTTTGCATCCTCCCCCTGTGCTTTCTTCACACTAAGCCCCACTCCGTGTGGTTGCTGTTGCTGTGGTGTAGTCTGGAACAAAGGGGAGGTTTGAAGTAACAGTCCAAGAAAGAGCATGTGCCTGAGGCAGGGTCCTTTCTCAGTGCTGTACAGCAGTTAATGATGCTCCAAGGATGTCCCACTTCTCCTTTGTCTCTGTTGCGTCATGGAGGCTGTTCAGAATGGCGTGGGAAGCAATTGTCCCTTCCTTTGAAAGTTTTGTGGAATTCGAAGCTGCTTATGCTTTGCACTGAACCAACTGGGAAAAAAACCACAACAGAAATCGTCGTTGGGACAGGCACACTCCAGCATGAAGACTATACTTGTGTCTAGACATTGACCTGGACTGTAGGAGATTGAGATCCTAGGCTGTGGTTGTAATCTCAACACGTTCTTGAACCTGGCTTATATCTTATTTTGCAACAGATTTATCTTGTTCTAGCCTTAGATTTAATCATGAAGCTATGGAGCTGAGAAACAGTTTCTGTCAAGACTGCTCTTCCTATGGAGAAAACCTCAATGTGTTGAAACTGAACATTTTCAAGTTAAAAATAGGGAAAAAAAACATGCCAGAACTTTCCCACCCATCTCTGCTCCCTGCATTGCATGGGCCTGGGAGCTACCTGTGAGACAGCCAGGCCGTTTTAAGGTAAAAGACACTTTCCAAGAAGAGAAGGTTCTTCCAAATAGTTAATGCATCATACTGCAGAGGGAGATACCTCACTGCACTGCATCTCAAATGAAAGCTAGTTGACTGCTGTTCTGGTTAGGTCTCCCAGTGGTGATTTATCCTTTTTTTTTTTTTTTTTTAAATGTAGCAGGGATTAAATGGTTCTTGGCAGTAAAAAGACTTCTTTTTAACTGGCAGTGGGGAAAAATCTCTCTCTTGCAGGCTCCACTATGACAGCAAATGTGTGCAAAAAGATCACAGCCCAGCTGACGGGAGCCATTGGCAAGCAGGAGGATGTATCTGTGCAGCTGGAGGCTCTCGACATCCTGTCAGATATGCTGAGCAGGTACCAAGTGATTTCCTTTTGGCAGCTGTGTACAGCAGCGGGCTGCATGCATGTGTTTGTTTTTGATTTCTGTAGTTCTCTAATCCTACTACGAGGACTGAAAAATAAAGGATTTGGGTTGGCTGCCACTGGAGATCAGAGCAGATTCCCCAGCAGAGCTGAGAGATGACGTGAGCCCAAGCGTTCTGTGCTTGGGAACAGCAGTAACACTGGTGATGGATCCCACAGAGGCTCAGTTCAAACAAAGTGTAGGGAGAGAGAGGGCAAAGCAGGAAAGTTTATTTTTGCCCTGTGATCTGATCACGCATGCATTTTTTTTTTCCTGGCTGCCTCTTTCTCTTGTTACATAAGTCAGAGTGACAGTGTCATATGTCAGCTGCGCGCAGGAAATTATTGACAAACCCCAGGTCATCCAGAAGGACACCGTCAAAATCAAACTCCTCCACGATGGAGACAAATAACCTCTCCCTGTGTTACACAGAACAAGTCGGTGTTCAGACCAAAATGCCAAACCCACCCTTTTCCTCTCGCCCCCCACAACATGCATGAAGTCCTCAGAGCTGAAGGATTTTTACATTTTTTACTGCCAAGAGGGCTTTTTCTCTGAGGCTTTGACTTTCAACTTCTGTCTTGTGCTGTTGATTGCAGACTAGGGGGAACACTCTACTCTTTCCATTCCTCCATTCTGAACTGCCTCCTTCCCCAGCTGACAAGCCCCAGGCTGGCAGTACGTAAAAGAGCCATCATTGCCTTGGGTCATCTTGTCTTGACCTGCAGTGGAAACATCTTCTCAGAGCTCACAGAGCATCTGCTTGCCGAGCTGAAGAGGAATGAGTCTACTTCTACTACCAGGACGTACATTCAGTGTGTTGCTGGCATCAGTAGGCAGGCTGGACACCGCATAGGTAGGACAAATAGCTTGAAATGATGCTGGGAAATGTGCATGCATTTTAGAGCAGCTCCTTTAGTGCTTACTCTGTTCCTAACATGTTAGTGGCTTGTGCTTTGTGATTCCCTCTGTGGTCCTGAGCTGGCTCTCTGATCTCCACTTGGAAGGGAGGAGACACCAGAGTAACTCTGTGGCTGCCCTTCTGTAGTGATTTCATCACAAGGTCTTGCAGCGCTTCCCTGGTCTGAATTAACACCTCTGTGAATTAGGTCAGTGAATTCACCCCATTTTAAATGTGAGGAGAAATGGAGGGCAACATACTGTATTACTTGTCTAAAAGATCTGCCAGAGCTGAGAGTAGGTCCTAGAAGATTTCTAATCACAGCTTTTTCTGTGACTGGAATGCCAGCAAGGGGCTGAAGACAGGGAGCAGGGGTCGTCTGCTTAAAACCCCTGCAAGGCTGGACCATGAGGTCCAGGGGACAAATGCTGTGCCAGGCACATGAAGAAAGTGGCGGGTGGCTGAACTGTTAGCTGCTTGGATGAATGAAGGCTGGACTGGGTTTTCACTGCAACTTACTTTGTCTTTCCCAGGAGAACATCTGGAGAAAATAATTCCTCTGATTGTTCAGTACTGTAATGTGGAAGATGATGAGCTGAGAGAGTACTGCTTTCAAGCCTTCGAGTCTTTTGTGAGAAGGTGCGTGCCCTTGAGGAACAACTGTGCACCATCCTGTGCATCAGTGTCCTCGTAGCATAAATATCTACACATTCAGCATCCACGGTTGAGTACCTTCTTACATGCATTCCTGTTGGGAAAGACAGTACACAAATGAAATCCCTCCTTTACATGCAGAGTTGGGCTTGAGCTATTTTACCTCGACATGTGAGAGTGTGTTTCTGTATCGAGGTTTTGGGGAGGATTTTGCAGGTCTGGGAGTTTTCCTTGTCCTTGGAGGATTCCTCAGCAAGAGGGAACTGCCTCACTCCTGGTGCATGGAGGAAGTGGGAGGCAGAAGGGGGCTCAGGCAGAATTGCTGCTGAGCTGCAGCGCTCTTGTTGTTTGGTCAAATGTTTACTGCTTGTCTTGGAAGAGGAGCCCTGCTGAGCTGCTGAGGTTTTCTCACATGAAGGGAAGATTCAACCAGTGGTGAAGAGAACTACTTTTTTTTTTTCCCTATAGAAATCATTGCACCCTCCCGAGGGGAATGTGGTCTTGCTTCATGCGCAGCAGGAAGGAGCGGCTCTGGTTTAACTCACGTTAACAAAATGTTCGTATAGCCCATGAAGCATTTTTGGATCCTTTTGAGATTAATTATGTCATTTGAATATTTAAAATTGCTTAGCCTTTAATTTATTAACTCTTAGGATTTTTATTTCTTGTGATAGGTGCCCAAAGGAAATTGATCCTCACATCCCTAATGTGATGGGGTTATGTTTGAAGTACCTCACCTTTGACCCAAACTACAACTATGATAACGAGGAGGAGGAAGAGGAAGAGATGATGGAAACTGAAAATGGGGAGGATGAGGAGCAAGGTGCCTGCTTGTGAGGATGACTGTGCTCAGCACAACGCTGTGTTAACGTTTCTCCCCTTCCTGCTTTCTCACCCTCTGTGATGTTGCTTTCCAGATCTGTTTCAAGACAGTCACTTCTTTTAAATGGGTTCTTTTAATTTACCAATGGTAATAATATAGTGCAGAGTTCCAGCAGTGATTCTGAGTTTGTTAGTTTTACTTTTTCCTGACAAAGTCCTCAGGTCTCTCCGTGCCTTAGGCGACAGTGAAAACACTGAAACTTGAACTCTGAAGTAGCTTAGTGGAGAGGTAGGCCACGGCAGCACTGTTTTTCCTGTGCCTGCTGACTGCAGGAGTTTCTTGGAGCATATCCAGCAAGCAGCCAGATTTAATACCTGGAAGTCCTGAGGGGCAGCTGCTTTGCCATCCTGATTGTTGGAAACGCTTCCTTGTGCTCCCAAAGGTGCCGGTGCTGCTTGCAGCCTTCCAGGCGGACCTCAGACCCCTGCTCCAAGCAGTTGACTTAATATGCGTGGGCTGTTCTTCAAGGGAAGGTGCGAACGCTGTCGCTGTTGCCCGCTCTCCGGCTTGTCCAGACCGCAGGTGGTGACACCAAGCGTTTGAATGCAGCTGTAACACCAGTTCCTGTCGGTCCTCGTAGTTTAGCTCTAGTGTGCTTAGGCTTATGTGAGAGACATGGCTCCTTGCTGGGGCCTGACAAAATGGTATTTCTTGAAAAGAAAGATGTTACAGGCAGATCTAGAAATTGCAGTTAAACAGTTAACCTCTTGCCGCGTGTGCTGCGGTGTTATGCAGTGTTACCTTTTTTTAACCAGGCAGCGAGCCAGCACTTGTAGCTTACTCTAGTTAGAAAAGGAATCAGAACTCTTTGATGTGGTCTCACGTATTGACAAACTCCTGCTTTCCCTGCTCGCAGGGGCGGTCAGGCAAGCGAGCAGCATGTCCAGGCTGTGGCAGCCAGCACCCTGCCGGGGCGTGTCCGAATCACGCGGCTTTGTCAGGCTGCAGCTTTTTCTGGGTTTCTGCATTGCTTCCTCGTGTCTCTCCATCTGCTAGGCCGTTTTCCGCGCGTACGCGCCGTTCCCGTGCGCAAAGCCAGCCAAGGCTCGTCTTTGCAGCCGCCCAGGGGCTGCAGGGCCTGTCCTGCGCTTGTGCCCCTCCTTGCGAGGCTGCTTGCTGTTTTGTTTTGCAGGAAGAGTTGTATGCTTAACTGCTATTTTAAATGAAAGCCTGCCATTTTGATGTAATGGTTTCAGGGCAACTGAACTCGGCCTACAAACATAGTAGCCACACAATTGCATTTTACTGTAGGGTAGCTATTTTTTTACTTCTTTGTAGCAGAAGAGAGAAAGCTAAAGTCTGGAACACTTAAAAGTGCCACCATGAAAAACAACTTGGTCCACCACTAAAAATACCTTAGTCATCAGTGAAAGCAATCTGATACTGTCTTTAAAAGAGGCCTTTCATTTATTTTCTGAATTGTGTTTACTTTGGGGTGGCTGTCCAGCCTTGGTCAGATAGGAGGGGTGCCTTTAGTGCCTGTTAGCTGTAGACAACATTTCATAATGTCTCTATTTATAGCTGCATATAGTGTGGCAGCTAAGAGCAGAAGTTAGAACAAGTTCCTTGGAAGAAAGGCATTTTTGTTTACTTTCATATTCATTGGGGTAAGGTCCTGGCTGGCTTCCTGGAAAATATGTTGTATGTTCTGCCAATAACATAGTAAATTGCTACACTGTTCTGTGCCATTCAGGAATTGTTAAGACAAATATTTGCATATTTCTGGCTTTAAAGTCTGGGAACCTCATTATCCCTTCAAAACAAAAGCCTTGATGCCTGACCTGAAGGGGCCAGTGAGGGCAGTAACATTAAGGTTTATTCCCCATCAGCTCTTTCTTGGAACAGAAGAATCTGATGCAGGGCAGCCCTGGGTCAGATTGGCTGGTAATGACGTCTGTAGGGACAGGCTATTCTGGACAATTTCATGTTCCCAGATATGTGTGAGTTACTGGCATCTGTTTGTCTGCGCAGCTGGAGAGGGAAGCTCTGAGGATCAAGTGGTCCGCTAGCTCTGGTTTTCTCATAATGGTGCACCTTGTTTTCCCTTGTCTTCTCTCCAGAAAGCGATGATGAGTACAGCGATGATGATGACATCAGCTGGAAAGTCCGCAGGTCCGCAGCGAAGTGCCTGGAGGCCATTGTCAGCAGCAGGCACGATCTCCTTCAGGACTTCTACAAAACTCTTTCCCCAGTCTTGATAAGCAGGTTCAAAGAGAGGGAGGAGAATGTCAAAGCTGACATCTTCAGCGCTTATATCTCCTTGCTGAAGCAAACACTGCCCACCCAGAGCTGGCTGCATGCTTCAGATGCCTCTGGCAAAGGTGACGTTCCCCTGACAATGCTTCAGAACCAGGTGCGTGAGAAGACGGCGGGCAGGATTAAATCAGAAAGCAATGAAGTAGGTACCGTGCCACACATCAGTATGCCCAGTAGTTAAGTGTGAGAACGTAGCTAGCTGAAGGAGCCCTTGGGCACGCAACCAAAAGGAAGCAAATCCTGAGGGCTGACCATTTACTGTTCGTCTCCCGCCATTCCCCAGGAGAGAGCGCTGGGCCAGTGCAGGAGCACTGAGGTGCAACCTGCGCGGCTCGCTCCGCTAGCCTCTGGCACGTTTGCAGGCTGCGTGTGAGATGGGTTAGCTTTTGGGTGAAGTGTCAGTCTGCTGCCTTACAGTTGCTCCAGCAGCTGCTCAGGAAACTCATTGAATAAATTGTGGTAGAAACGTACCAGAGCAAGCCATTGGAAGCTCAGTACGGTTTGGAACGGGTCAGGAGGCGTATGAGAGCGTGCAGCTAGTTTCATTGTGGGAGAACAGCCAGTGACGTCCAGGGTAGCTTGCTGTGGTTGTGCACACAGTCCGCACATCACTGCAGATGAAAGAATAGTGGAAGCAATTTTTCTGACATACTGCTTTAATTTGGAAGTACGCTGGAGTAATTACAATCAGAATAATTTAGCCACACATGCTGATCAGGACTCTGCCTAGGCCAGGATCCTTGCTAACACTGTGGTCCACACATGCCATTTTAGAAGACAAAAGAAATATTGGAAATAACCATGTTGTTATAGAATTGCTTGACCATAAGAGCAGCTTTTCTGGCTGATGCTACCACTGACTGGTGACTTCTTGAGGCAGGAGGATTAAAATCCCTGCCAAAATGTAATTACATCCCTGATTAATCATCTCACAAGTATGAGATATTTATTTAAATAACTTGCACCTCAGCCCTGTGATGTGTTTTTTGATTTCACTGAGACTTTTCTGATTTCAGTGAAACACTGGCAAGGTGTCCAAGTTTAAATATAATGGGGCTAGACCCTTAAACAGCAGACCAGGAAGGAATCATAAAACTACGCTCCTTTAGCAGTGTGTCCTGGTCTGATCATTTTGTTGTGTTTCTTTAAGATTCTGTGTTAGGGGATAACACCAACTCCAGGAAGTCTGCTTGCAGAATATGGAAAAGAACAGCATCCCCTCCTGCTCCTCTGTTCATGTATCTTTTCTTCACATACTCTGTCTTCCAGTCTATCCCAAGTCCATTCTCCTCTGGTGAACGGGCGCACTGTTTCTTGCTGTCCCTGTTAGTTCTCTTGCTGCACTGCTCGTGCCTCTGGCTCAGCTGAGCAAGCTGCTGTGGTAGCGTAGCTCTGCGCCCTGGAAGCTGGGATGATGATGTGTGTGTTTCTGGTTTTCTTTTCCAAACTGCAGGTCCCCAACATCATCAAGGCCTTGCACAGGCAGCTCAAAGAAAAGAGCATCAAATCGAGACAGGGCTGTTTCAGCCTCCTGACAGAACTGGCCAGTGTTCTTCCTGGTTGCCTGGCAGATCACATCCCTGCCCTCGTCCCTGGTAAAGTTGTCTGTGGTCTGGGGGTGAAGAGCAGGGTTGGCTCAATCCATTCCTAACACATATGCTCCTTGCCTGCATGTTCCAGTTTTATATCTGTATATTATTCTGCTCAGCATCAGGACATAAACATCAAGCTCTGCTGTGTGTTGATATGCTAAACAGCTCCCAGCTTAATCCTGGCTCTGTCTACCACTGAAAGCCGGGATAAGAATCTCAAGGTCATTTCTACAGTTCCCTGAGGAGATGCTTTTAGGAGGGCCTATTTCAGCCTGCTTTGAAACTAGCTGGAATTATGCTGTTAGCCGGCTGAGATCAGTAACACAAGTGACATTTTATTTTACAAAATGGCAGTGACATGTTAAAAAATTACTTGCATTGACTGATTATTTTGCACCGCCACATTTTTCTCTGAGCTTTCCTGCTTATAGGCTCATGAAGCATCCCGCTGCTGAAAGGCTCATAATACTAAAGTCCTGCCTTTGCTTTTGGTGTAACTCTAGTAAATACAAAAAAAAGTCTCCTGTGATTGTCCTTGGGCTGGATCCATGTACCTGCATTTTACGAATTAATAGATTGGAAAAAACATTCAAATCAGGAGTTAGGCATGACTTCAGGGGTGGAAAGCAGTATTGTTGTAAATGTTTCTCATTAAGTCTTATGGGAAACATTAATATGAATTTCCACAGAAATTGGACTTGGGAGTACCTCCCTTCCACAAAGGCAGTCCATCTTTAATGGTCCACAGTTACGTTCCAAGCAGTACTAACAGAAGGTGTAAAACTAGATAAACATAGAGCCCCCTGCCTTTTTTTGCCCCCCTCCTCTTTTTTTTTAAAGATTTCCAACAGAAGAATGAAGGAAAAACTCATGAAGGGGCACTCCTACTGCCTGGAGTGCCTGTTGTTGAGACTAGGCTTTCCCAGTCATAATTTCATGCCATTTTGTTATACTTTGTTATACTTTGCACTTGACCAACTACACCACCTCCTCTCAGCCCAGGATGACTTCGAATTCACTGTTAAAAAAAAGTTTCCAGAGCCAGCCATGCAGGACTGCTACGAAAACCAGTTATGTCTGAATGGCCACTTGCTGGAAAGCAGACAGCAAGGAGAGTAGCGCTCTCTAATGGCACGTACCTTTTGGGTGGGGAGAGGAAAGAAAGAAAACCGATTCCAATTGTGTCCTTCCTTGAGGGTGGTGTGTGTGATAAAAACCACTGGATGAAATAAGACAGCAGTCATTCTTGTCTCTTCTGCACAGGTATTGTTTTCTCCCTGGCCGATAAATCCAGCTCCTCCAACATGAGAATTGATACACTCTCTTTCCTTCATGTTCTTCTTTGCAACCACCAGCCAGAGGTATTTCATCCTCATATCAAAAGCCTGTTACCTCCTGTCGTGACCTGTATTGGAGACCCCTTTTATAAGATCACTTCAGAAGCTCTGCTGGTTACTCAGCAACTTGTGAAAGTTATCAGGCCTTTGGATAAATCTTGCACTTTTGATGCCAAGCCCTATGTGAAGGACCTTTTCCCTGGTACTCTGAAGCGACTGAAGGCAGCTTAAGAGTGTGCTATCTCCTGCATGGGACAAATTATTTACAATCTGGGAGACCATTTAAGCACTGATCTCCAGCCAACCTTGAAGATATTTCTGGAGAGGCTCAAAAATGAAATCACCAGATTGACAACAGTCAAAGCATTAACCCTAATTGCTAGCTCTCCACTTAAAATAGATTTGAGACCCATTCTAGGGGAAGGTTTCCCCATTCTAGCTTCCTTCTTGAGAAAAAACCAACGTGCCTTGAAACTGAGCACTCTGACTGCTCTGGACATGCTGGTGAAGAACTACAGTGATAGCCTCAAGCCTGCCATGATAGAGTCTGTCCTAACAGAGCTCCCTGCTTTAATTACTGAGAATGACATGCATGTTTCCCAAGTGGCTATCATGTTCCTTACTACTTTGGCTAAGGTTTATCCATCCTGCATCTCTAAGATCAGTGGTTCAGTTCTTGCTGAAATCTTTCAGCTTGTCCACTCGCCTTTGCTTCAAGGAGGGGCACTGAGCGCCATCATAGACTTCTTCCAGGCTCTGGTTCTGACGAAGACGGCCGCCGTGGGTTACTCAGAGCTGATGAAGCAGCTGACTGCACCTATTTACTCCTCAGGTTCAGCCGGGGCATCAGTGGCATTACACAAACATGCGTATTACTCTGTCGCAAAGTGCGTGGCAGCCCTTTCCTCAGCCTGCCCAAAGGAAGCCCCTGCGATAGTGACCCAGTTTATCCAGGATGTAAAAAACCCCAAGTCCAGCTCTGCTGTTAAAGTGCTAGCTTTCCTTTCACTGGCAGAGATGGGGCGCACCACGAACCTCAGTGCTCAGAGAGAGCTCAAAACCGTCATCCTGGAAGCATTCGCTTCCCCCAGCGAAGAGGTAAAATCCGCTGCTTCCTATGCGCTGGGGAACATCAGTGTTGGGAATCTGAGGGAGTATCTTCCCTTCATGCTGAAAGAGATCGGAAGCCAGCCCAAGAGACAGTACCTCCTGCTGCACTCTCTAAAAGAAGTCATCAGCTCCTCCCCAGCTGATGGCCTCAAACCTTACGTGGAGGATATTTGGGCTCTGCTTTTCAAGCACTGTGAGTGCACCGAGGAAGGGACGCGCAATGTGGTGGCTGAATGCTTGGGGAAGCTGACTTTGGTGAATCCTTCTGAGCTGCTGCCCTGGTTGAAAAAACAGCTGTCATCAGGTAATGGGAAGGGCAATGGTAGGAGCAGGAAAGTGCCGCCTTTTGCTGGGAAGTCCTCTTGTAAGCTGCCAAGGGTACAAAAGGGAGCAAAGCCAGTCTGCAGGTGCAAGAAGGAAATGAGGAACCTCTGGGGGGGGCGGATCAGAGGAGCACTGGTTTGCACAGGCGGCAGGAGGGTGTTAGGAACAGGGACTGCACACAGAGATTGTGCGGGAGCAGGATTTAAACAAGGAGGTTGTTAAGACAAATCCCCTGTTCTCTTATTTCTTCAATGTGTGTGTAATGTGACCAAGAGCAGGACATACACTACAAAGTTACAGCAATGATTTTGTCTCTTGATCTTTCACTGATTTTTCTTTCCATCTTCATCGCAGGCTCTCCCCATGCCCGGAGCACGGTGGTAACTGCAATCAAATTCACAATTGCAGACCAGCCTCAGCCTATCGATACTCTCCTGAAAGGCTGCATAGGTGAGCTGGTACAAACAGCAATGAGAGCTGGGAGCTCGAGATGTTAGGCGTCATTAGCAGCTCAGGGGTTTTTCACACGTACGTGAACCTCATCTAATCCAGTTGGGTTTTATCTGTGTTTCTCTGCTTTGGGATTAACAAGCAACACTGACACGTGAGTCCTTGTTAAATGCTCTTGGGCATGTTCCACTGGTGACAAGAGTTTTTTAGGGAGCGAAGTTCCTTCTGTGTTTAAGCTTATGATTCAAGCATCTCACAACAAGGATCTTGGAAAATAGAACCTACATTAAAAGGGTCTTATGTCTAAGGAGCCTACATCTCAGATCTGTTGTATAAAACTGGGCCTTCTGTTTCAGAGAAGTCTGAGCAGATGAGATCTGAGCAAGAAAAAAACAAAACCCAACTTCCTTGAATACTAAAGCTTCTGATTTGACTTTAGGGTGAGGTCACTTGAATCAGGCAGTTTGTTTTATGCCCAAATGCAGGAAAGTCATGTTTCTTCTATTTACTATATCCCAAATGAAGGGAGGGAAAGCATCTTGAATGTCTCTGTTAGCCTCTGCCCCTCGAGTTATTTTACCATCGGTGCTTTCATAACCAGGATACTTGAAATACACTGTGATATACTTTTAAAATACTTCTAAAACGCAGCAGCAGGACTGACTGGTGTGTTCTTATCCCACAGGTGACTTCTTAAAAACTCTTCAAGATCCAGATCTGAATGTTCGACGTGTGGCTTTAGCCATGTTTAATTCTGCTGCTCACAACAAACCTTCTTTAATCCGAGATTTACTAAACGCAGTTCTCCCCAGCCTGTACAATGAAACGAAGGTCAGAAGGGAACTCATCCGGGAGGTATGTCACCTGTTCGGCTCGAGTGCAATACGGCAGTGACACGGTGTGTGTGAAGCGGAGATGAAGCTGTCACCCTGTCTGCTGTTAGGTGACAGCTGTTATTTTTTTTCTTGTTTAAGGTAGAAATGGGGCCATTCAAGCACACAGTGGATGATGGCCTTGACGTGAGGAAAGCTGCCTTTGAATGCATGTATACACTGCTGGAAAGCTGCCTTGACCGACTGGATATGTACGAGTACCTGAACCATGTGGAGGATGGACTGAAGGATCACTACGACATTCGGGTAGATGCTGTCACTGATGTTATTCGTTCTCTAGGGGCCCGGGCTTGAACTGAGCTGCTGCATCACCACAGCACAGAGTGCCCCTGCTGGGCCGTTTCTTATTCTCTGCAACTGCTGCAGCCTTTCATCTGACATTGTCTGGCTCTCGCTTGACTGTGGTGGCCTTGAAAACACAACCCTGGTGTAGCTGGTTTTATAGGAAATTTACCAAAGTCTAAAATAAGTTCCTTCTCCCTTTAAAATTAAGGTTGTCACTTGCTCAGTGGGGCCAGTGACACCATATTAAAATTTAGCATTACCATTGTTGATGGCCTCATAGCTCAATAGGAAGCCCTCATCCTTTTCATACTGTTGTTTACCTCCACTTAGATGTGGGTACGGCAGCGGCACAATCCCTGTGCTGAATGTTGCCGTTTCTCCCAACGGCCGTCAGCCCCTTACAGACACCCGAGAGCAGGGCACCACATGCACCTGGGACCAGAGCCCAGCTGGGCAACGCTTTTGTGTTGGCTGCCAGCGGGTGCATTTCTAACACAACCAAAGCTCTTGTGAAACCCCCTTGCACAAGTGCAGGGGAACTCCCCACCGGGTGGGTTTGGCACGACACCACAGGGAGAACGACCACCCAGGCTTCAGCAGAGAGGATCCACGCTCTAAGCCTGGGGGATCGGAGTGTGCAGTGAAGCAACGCCTGTTCTGTCGTTCCTCCTTTGTCTAGATGCTGACTTTCATAATGTTGGCTCGGCTGTCCACACTCTGTCCCAGCGCCGTGCTGCAACGGCTCCACCCTGATATTGCGACTGATCGAGCCACTCCGGGCAACTTGCTCCACAAAGGTAAGATTAGGCAGAGAGTGTGACGCAGTGGAGGTGGGTTGTGCCACAAAGCCACTTGTGCTGTGAGCCTTCTCTGTCACCGCCTCTGAGCAACCCATGCCCCACACTCCTCCGGCTAGAAAAGCATCTGCCTGCCTCTGTCTCTGCTGGCGTGTCTGATTCTTTGTGCCTCCACTGTCTTTTCTAAATGCCAACTAAAAACAGTGCTTTGGATTTGTAGGTAAAAGCTGGGTCTGTGAAACAGGAGTTTGAGAAGCAGGATGAACTGAAGCGATCTGCTATGAGAGCAGTGGCTGCTCTCCTGACCATCCCTGAGGTGGAGAAAAGTCCAGTGATGGCTGAGTTTTCATCTCAGATCAGATCTAATCCCGAAATGGCATCGCTATTTGAGAGCATTCAGAAAGATTCTGCCTCCCTACCTGCCTCAGAGTCAATGGACATGAGCTAAGTAAGATCTGCCCATTTACTTCGCCACCTTCCTGCCCTTGCAATGTGTTAATGGAGCAGAGATGCCACAGGCGGGCCAAGGAGGAATGTCATCCAGCTGGTCTCTGCTGCAGCAGCCACTTGAGTCATTGGGCACCAGCAGGACAAAACGGTTCCTTCCAGCTGCACTTGCACCAGACACCTCGCTGAATTGTAACGAGATATGAGACACAGGAAGCGCATCCATATGGAGGGGAGGGGCTGGAAGATGAATATTCTAATTTTTGAGCAAGTTTTTAAGGGGCATACAAAGCAATCAAAAAGTGAATGTGGTTCCATGAAAAAAGGGGACTACTTCCTGAAGTTTTTCCTTACTGTAGTACAAAGAAAAATAGTCTAAAACTTTTTTTTTAACCACTGCACATGCACTTTCTATCCCAAATTGCCTGAAGAATGTATTTATATTGTTTCACTAAATAACATTGCTAAAAACTAGGAATCACATCTTTAATTAGTGATGAGCACCATAACCGTAGGCCCCCTTTGAAAAACAGACTTGCATTACCCAAGCTGCAGGAGCTGCACAGGGGTAGTTCAGTACCCAGACTCCACAGGCTTTCCCCCAGGGCTCAGCTCACAAAATGGGTGCTGACAGCTGCATGTTTCTGGAGGGTTGGGGTGATACAAAGCTGTCTTGCTCGACTCCCATTTTTACAGTTTTGACTGCAAAGTACCTCAGCCAGCCATCTTCCAGAAAGAGACGATTACTTGATTGTGTTGCACCACCAAACCTTACACTAAGCTTTTCTTTGCATTTTAACACTGGCTTATCTATCTTCCCCCTCTGAGTAGCTCAGTGTTTGTGTTGAGCAGTGATCTGTGCTGGACTCTGGTCACAGAGCAGCAGCAGAGGGGCAGCGGAGCCAGTATTCAGCATTTTAGTATTGCAGAAGAGAGGTGAAAGTCACTAGCTAGCAGTGCAAGCATACAGGCAGTCCACACTAACCCTTCCGGCATTTGAAAACTTACCTGACTGGCTGTGGTGGTCCAATCCTGCTCAGTATAGGGGGGGAAAAAAAGGAGAGAAAGTATAACAGCAAGTTAGAGCACAAGGCCACCATGACACATTTCGTGTAGCCACAGAGCTGTAACATGCTTTCCTTTCTCCTTTGACAGTGGTTGATGTGACTGATAAATATTTATAGTGCTGTGTGAAAGAACATCCGTTCTGTTTGAGTGGTATGAAAAATAAAGATGTACATGTGAAGCTGCGTGCACTCCCGAATTCATTAGCAAGTGCACCGCTGCACATCTACCCTTGGACAGCCAAGCTGATGCAGGGGTAGCACAGGAACCACACCTCTGGCTGCTGAAGCCCAGCAGCACACTGCTGCCCCGCCTGCACCCAGGCACCAAGCCCCACACTCAAAACATTTGTTATTACACTTTATTAAATACATTGTGGATGTAGGAGCCAGTTTATTCATTCTCCTCGCTGCGCAGTCTGGCATTGGGATTGGTGATCTTGATGGCGAGCTGAGCAGCTCTCTCCACAATTATCTTCCGGTTCTTGGAAGACACGTTGTGAGCAATCTCTGCGCAGTACGACCTGTCAGAAAGAAACCGCGCGTCAGGCTGGGCTCCAGCGGCGCTGACAGCAGCCAAGGCAAAGCACCAGCAGTGTCCCAGCCCAAAAGCTGGAGCACACGACCTCCACCCCACAGCCAAGCCAGACCCGTCCTGGCCTGAAGCAGCAGCTCACCCATCCTGCATTTCCTCTTGTGAAGCAGAGTCAGTAAGAGGTAGTTTTTAATGGTGTTAATTGTTTTATAAGAAAATAATAAGAGTAATCAAGTACTAGAAGTAGATTTAGGCCTGTGCCTGAACAGCTATGAAGCCACAGCTCTGATCACCATTTTACCAAATGTAGGTACAGCGCTGTTTGCCACCACTATAACATTGTATTTTTGCCAAAGGTATGGATTTGCTAGCCCCAACACCCTCTGTGCCCTCCCGCCAGCAGCACTAAGGAAACCCAAAACAACCTTTGTGCTCTTAAAAACACCAACTTCCCTCATCTCCCACCTACGTCTTGCCTTGACTGCACTGCCTTTTTGTCATCCAACCCAGCGCCATTAGGGGACAGACAGCGTGCAGTCCCAGCGGCAGAGCTGCCAGCGACGGCTCTGCACAGAGGCCCTGCAGGCTTACTTGTTGCTCATCATGAGTACTTCCAGCTCTTTGACGTTGTGGACCAGGAACTTTCTGAACCCCGTGGGCAGCATGTGCTTTGTCTTCTTATTGCTGCCATAGCCAATGTTGGGCATCAGGATCTGACCCTTGAACCGCCTGCGAACTCTGTTATCAATACCTCTCGGTTTACGCCAGTTGCGCTGAAGAAACGCAGAGAATATTTCATAGTTACAAAACGAGATCAATCTGAAAACGCCTGCCTCAAGGTAATAGCTCTAGCCAAAACCCATCTGCAAAGACCCGCCACGCCAGGCTGTTATAGCGCTGGCCCGTTGTGCCCGTTGTGCTTTAATTCACCATCAACCCTAAAGGCAGCCACATCCGACTGTCCCAGATTCATTTCCTAACGAACTTCCAGCGACGTTTTACCTTGATCTTGACATAGCGATCAGACTGATGACGGATGAACTTCTTGGTCCTCTTCTTGACAATTTTAGGCTTCACGAGAGGTCTGAGGGCAGGCATGGTGTCTAAGATAAACAGAATTGGTGTGAGGGGGAAATGCAACACAGAAATGATGTGTTACTCCACTAACAGCACATGTCGCAGACTATCTTCCACTCACGGGCCACTCTGGAGGCTAGCGAGGGAATGGGTATTCCTCTGCAGTGTCTCTGCCTCCCGCCTCCGAAGCTGGAAGAGCACTGAAAGCTCTCCAGATGCGATCCTGGGAGGTCACGCGTTGCTCAGGCAACTTCCACAGCCGCGCTGGACGGCACTGCGTTCCCCACCCGTTATGCTCCTGCCCTCACAACTTCGGGGCCGTTCCGACTCTCAAAACCCAGGCTGACACTGCGCCAACGGACAGGCCGACAGCAGCGCGCAGTCCTTTCTCCCCCATCAGAAGCGACTAAGCA